TTTGTCTGGTCTAATTCTCAATGTGTGAAATTAAATCTATTCTTAAGCAAGGCAAATTTTCCAGTAATTAGGAAGCTGTATGTCCCTGTGGTGCCCAGAGCCTAACAAGCCCCTGACGATCCCCCCCGTCTAACAAGGAATGAACGCTTGTCTACCCAGCAACTACTCGGAGCCAGAGACAACACAGAACAGTTGTAGGGGGCATTTTTAGGGAAAAAGGTAACGTTAGATATATTTTTTGGAAACATATTTTCTTTTGAGATCTTCTTACAATGTTTACAGAAATCTAAATTTTGACTTAAAGTGACATTAAACCCTCAGATTTTTTAACATAAAGCAATACTGTAATGTGCACCTTACTGTAATCCATGGTTGTTTCCCTTCTCTTTGCTGCTCTTCCTTTTAAATCTGTATCTGTTCTCATGCTGGGGGAGAACTTCTGTTTTGCAGCAGACTGCCATGTTTCAGGAATGGATACACGGTGTCTGTGTATAGATTTGTATAGGTTTGTAACCTGAGCCAGCACAACAGGAAGAGGCCCTGAGCTGCAAAGGGAAGTTCTCCCCAAGCATGAGAAGACATGAGGATTTAAAAGGAAGAGCAGCAAAGAGAAGGGAAACAACCATGGATTACAGTAAGGCACACATTACAGTATTGGTTTATGTTAAAAAAAATCTAAGGGTTTAATGTCACTTTAAAGTGACACTAAACTCAGGAGTTAAAACTTAAATATGCATTCAAGTACCTTAACTAGTAATAAAATTGTATCTCGGCTCTAGATCCTCAAATCATCTCTGAATTGGTGCCGACACTGTTCTTCCTTCTGGAGGGTGGCTATTTTTGTTCCCCATGGTCCCTGTGTGTGTTGTAAAGTAGCCACTGCTCCAAGCTCGCTCCTGCGATGGACTACAATCTCACGCTTACTTTATTAATTTGTATTGAGATTGTAGTATTAGTATTAGCATTTTGGGTCCAGAAACAGTCTGGTCTGGTGGTAATCTGGATGTGGTGTGAATGGGCCCTGAATAAAGGTGCCGTACTAACCTTTTAAACACCTGCTAAACAAACACAACATTTATTTAGGTCTCACTATACCTCTAGTGCAGTCTCTCTCTCTCTTTTTCTCTCTCTCTCTCTCACTCTCTCTCTCATGCCGCTCTGACTGCTGCCCCCATGTGACCCAAAGAGATGCTGCCTGAGGCAACAGTTTCAGGCTGCCTCCCTAAAAGGGATGGCCCTGGGTTTTACACTAGATTTTTACTTAAAAAAAATGTTAAATGCTTTCTAGCTAAATTTTTTTTAAAAATTAAGTCCACTTGTGTATATTTATTTTTAAAGGCACACAATGATGTTTCAATTCAGCCAGTGCAATTATATATTGTATGCAGAAATGTGGAGGAAAAATTACATGCAATTATGCAACAACTCAGCAAGGGCTGAGCCTGATAGATGATCCAATGTATCCAATTAGGCAGGCCCCAGCACTACAGTTGTTAGTAAATCCAGAGGTAGATTGTACAACCAGACTGTAAAGTGAGTGGCTGGTTTAACTGTATTTTGCTCATCATTACTAGTCCATGCATTGCCCTAATGAAGTACAAGATTGGCATCTTCTGGCACTGGAATCTTGGTGCTGCCTGAGCTTGGTTGCTGTCAGCATAGAGGCTTCTAATACAGGGTGAGGTAAGTATGCTGCAGAATAGCCACAGCTGCCGCTATCTAAGGGCAGATCACCAGCCCTGGATGCAATCTGTCTGCATCCAGGGGCGATTATCTGTCCCTAGCCGCATGTAACAACTACATGTGCAAATAACTGCATATAACAGCAGACAGCTGTGGCTCCTGTCAGCCTCTCATTGCTTTGTACAGGCTTGGCAGCCACAACTGTCTAGAACCACCTGAGATTCCTGCCGCAAGAATCCGCTTATTCTTGTCTTGCTGCAGGAATCCACAGCTGGATTTTAAAGCCTTGTTTGAATGGGGCCTAAGTGATACAAGGGTTTATTTTAGGGGATGATCAAATGTTAAGGGTTTAGTAAGTGATTCCAGAGTTTAGCTTCATGGGCTTGATCACACCAGCTGTGTTCAGTTGTGTTTTTTTTACACGCATCCAAAATGCAAGCAGAGTAAATTCATTGCGTTCACTTCCAGTGCTTTCAAATAAAGTACAGCAGCGTGCATTTTTTTGCACCGGAATGTGCCTGAATGCATGTAAATGCACATACATGCACCAGAGAGAGCTTACACATAAGTGAAAATAATGTTTTCAAGATTATGCAGTAAATAAAACACATTAAAATGCATTAAAAAAATTGCATAGAAACACACAGAAACATACAGTAAACGCAAGGATTATGGTGTGAACAAGCCCTAAAAAATTTTGGTAGGTGAGTTTTTAGATAGTGGAGGGTTAAATGTTTTGTTTAGGTAGGGGAGGGTTGCGTGTGTAGGTAGGTTAGGGTTAAGTGTTTAGGAATGGAAACGTTAAGCGTTTAGGTAGGAAAGATGAAGTGTTTAGGTTGGGGAGGGTTGCATGTTTAGGTAGGTTAGGGTTAAGTGTTTAGGTAGGGGAAGGTTAAGTGTTAAGAGTTTACGTCGAAGAGGGTTAAGTGTTTTGGTAGAGTAGGGAAGGGTTAAGAATTATGTGTTTAAGTAGGGAAGGGTTCCGTGTTTAGGTAGGGGAGGGTGGCGTGTTTAGGTAGGTTAGGGTTAAGTGTTTAGGAAGGGAAACGTTAAGTGGTTAGGTAGGAAAGATTAAGCGTTTAGGTAGGGGAGGGTTGCGTGTTTTGTTAGGTTAGGGTTAAGTGTTCAGGTAGGGGAGGGTTTAATGTTAAGTGTTTAGGTAAGGAGGGTTAAATGTCAAGTGCTTAGGTAGGGGATGGTTAAGTGTTTAGTGTTTAAGTAGCTGAGTGTTACATTTCTAGATCAAAAAGGGTTAAAAGAGAACTATGTGGTAAGTGTTTTCCCCATAGTTCTCTTTAGAGTCACGGGAGGACATATACTAACCTCCTCCCGTGACCCAAAGCTCAGTATATCGCTGGCTATTGCCAGACAATACTGTCTGGATCCACCCAGCTGCGTGAATGACAGCAGGTTCTGCTTATCTAGAGGCAGAGCCAGCTGTGCCTGCCCCCTCCCCTGTCCTTTCCTCCACTCAGCGCTGGAGGATCGGAGAGGGGGGAATCCCTGCAGCGGACTGTCAGTCACCGCTCTCTGCAGGGAGATGATCGGAAAGTGAGCGAGCAACAATATGTGTTCGCTCACTGCCCGATCAATAGAGCCGACCCGTGACAGATTTTTTGTCACAGGTCGGCTCTAACTATGAGGATGAGTGGAAATCACTCACCACATAGTTCTCCTTTAAGGTGTTAAGTGCTTGAGTAGGGTAGGGTTAAGTGTTTAAGTAGGGGAGGATTAAGTGTTCAGGTAGGGGAGGGTTAAGTGTTCAGGTAGGTTAGGGTGAAGTCTTTAGGTAAGAAAGGGTTAAGCATTAAGTATTTAGGTAGGGGAGGGTTAAGTGTTCACGTAGGGGAGGGTTAAGTGTATCGTTAGGAAAGGGTTAATTGTTTAGGTAGAGACGGGTTAAGTGTTAAGTATATAGGTAGGGGAAGGTTAAGTGTTTAGATAGGTGATGGCTAAGTGTTTAGGTAGAGAAGGGTTAAGTGTTAACTGTTTAGGTAGGAGAGGGTTAAGTGTTTAGGAAGGGAAGGGTTAAGTGTTTAGGAAGGGAAGGGTTAAGTGTTTTGATAGGAGAGGGTTAAGTGTTTTGATAGGAGAGGGTTAAGTGTTTAGGTAGCGAAGGGTTAAGTGTTCTGGTAGGGGAGGGTTAAATGTTTAGATGGGGAAGGTTAAGTACCTAGATAGAGAAGGGTTAAGTGTTAGGAGTGCTTTACTGTAGGGATACATTGTTCAATTCTAACATCCACTACTACTTCTCATGGCTTTGTATGGATGTATCGATCTGCCGCTGTGTCACTGATTTGCTACTCTCATAAAGTTAACAGCTGACAAATCCTAGTAGAAATATAATGTGTCTGTCTTCAAAAGGAGAAAATCAAGCCAAGTTTGAAAACCCGATGTATATACAGTACGGTACGTGTAAAAATAGTACATTGACACAGTCGATAAGCACCGCGGACACACCTTTGTATCCGATCTGTTGCTACATCCAAGTTAAAAAGAGCACAACACATATTTTCCTATCAATAAGTAAAGATTAAGAGGCCTATTTAGAAGCAAGAACAGGTGCAGGAGTGCGTCGATACTCAGCAATTTTTGGGCACGTGTAAAATCTTCATTCATTATTGAAATATGAAAAAACTAGACCCAAATTGCTCAGAACTGTTTCATCGATAGACACGATTGCCAGAATCTGTATTCACAACAGAAAATGTTTTTAAAAAGTCAAAATATTAGTGTTGTTTCTCATCAAAAGCTCTGACTTAAAGATCTTTTTTTCCCCTACCAGGGGCGACCTTGGACCATGTTCTTGTTCAGACTACGTTTGGGGACACACTCATGACCATTGAATGTATATCTGTATACTCTATTCACATTGCCATTTTTGCATTGCCCAATGTTACCCAGTTGGTGTAATTTTCGATAAACACCTTCCCCCATTTTTCTTTTCTGTACCTCTTGTTTATATTTTAAAATACTAATTAAAGAATTTGCAAACAAAAATTAGTTTTCACCTAATTTAAATGGACCCTGTAGACTTAAAGTGTTAATAATAATTAGCAGCAACTGACTGCAATTAAAACGGAGAGACCTGATTGGTTGCTACAGGTTATGGCACATCATTTCTCTTTTTTTGTGATTATACTTTGAACCGTACCTCCGTTCTCTACCTCCCGTGTGAAATAAACGGCATGAACAAGCCTTGCATTGATTTATTAAGTAAGCCAGACTGTTTTGCATTGAAGGTGAGTTAGTTTTTCCTTCTCTAGAGAATTAGCACCAGAGCAGCTGAAATTGGAAAAGAAAAAAAGAGCACGTACCTTGAGAACTTCCATTGGTACCTGGGCAGGAGCGGGCAGGCTGGTGGACACGCTGACGTTGATGGCTGGTGTGTGGTTTGCTGGCACTCTATGTTGCATGAAATGAGCTGCCTGCTGCTTCTGCTGTTGCTGCTCGCGGCGCTCTTGCTCTTGCATCTGCTCACGCATCAGCTGCTGCCGTAGCAGAATCCGTGATGTCATGCTGGAGGAGCTTAGTGGAGGCTTCGATGCTCCGTGATGCTCGCCTGAACTGCTGTGAAAAGGCAAAAGATAGGCTACTAATTAGTAGGGATTCTCATTGCTGTTCACCCAGCATGTTTAAAGGGCTCTGCTTTTAAAATCTGTTAGGAATCATCGGACTTGCAAAGACACTTTCAGCTTCAAGTACAATTGCGACGCCGGAATGACCAGCGTGAGGTTAAAGGGAAACTATAGGGGGGGTTTTTTTAGATATACGAAAATGAGGTCAGCTTATATTGTATCTAAACCCCAGAACAAAAGTGTTATATATTGCGGTTTCCACAATGCAGGAAAAGGGAATCCAGGACACTTATGGCAAATCACACTTCTTTATTGTATAAGGAAAAACTTAGCAAAGACTAAAAACAATAAAAACCATCTGGCCAATGACCATTTCTGGTGCTTTCAATGCACACTGTGTTGAGGCACTTGGATCATTGAGATTCAAAGATTGAAAACAACCATCCGGCCAATGACTATTTCTTGTGCTTCCCTGCACGCTTTCTCAAAGCACTTAGATCACTGAGATTCAAAGACTACAAACAATATTAACCATCCAGCTGAGGACAGTTCTTGTGGTTCCATGCACAATCCTTCTCAAGGCACTTGGATCATTGAGATTCAAAAACTAAAAACCATGTGGCCATTGACCGTTTCTCCAGGTTCCACGAATGCCCCCTCAAGGCACATGGATCATTGAGATTCAAAAACTAAAAACAATATAACACATCTGGCTACAGACTTTCTCATGCTTCCCTGTGCACTTTTTCAAGGCACTTGGATCATTGAGGTTCAAAAACTAAAAACAATATAAACCATCCAGCCAATGAGCATTTCTGGAGCTACCACACATGCTTTCTCCAGGCACTTGGATCATTGAGGTTCAAAAACTAAAAACAAAACAAACCATCCGGCCAATGACTGTTTCTCATGGGTAAACACATATGCTTTCTCAAGTCACTTGGATCATTGAGATTCAAAAACAAAAAACAATATAAACCACCTTGCCAATTACTAAACCTCATGGTTCGACACACGTTTTCTCAAGACCATTGGATCACTGACATTCAAAGACTAAAAACAATATAAACAATCTTGACGACAACTGTTTTTTTATCCTGTCCTGCACATTTTCTCAAGGCACTTGGATCTAGGGCTGCAACAACTAATCGACATAATCGATTATAATCGATTATTGAAAAAGTTGTCAACTTTTTCAATCATCGATTAATCGGCTTCTGGTTAGTTGGCCCTGTTCACGGCTCCACACGCGCTGTGCGCCGTACCTCCTTCCCACCTCAGACCCGCCAGCACCCACGCTCCACACGCCACACCTCTTCCCCGCCTCACGCTCACCGCCCTCCCACATCCACGATCGGCACAGGGACGCGGGGAGAACAAGTAAGGAGGAGGAGCAGGCGTGGGGGGATGACAATCGCCGATAGACAGGCCCTATCTCAGAAGCAAGTTGCTTGGAAGACTGCTCAGGTAAGCCTGCACTCCCTCCCCCCCATACCTGGTGCTCTATAATGTATTGCTGGGATTTGTATTGCTCTATACCCGACGGTACATTGTGCTGTATATTATACAGAGGACTACAAATCCCAGCAATAGTACATTATACACTGTATGTATAATGTACTATTGCTGAGATTTGTTGTATCCCTCTATAGCTGGTGGTATTCTGCATTGTGCTGTATAGAGGACTACAAATCCCAGCAATAATACATTATACAACGCAATGCGGAATACCACCAGCTATAGAGGTGTACAACAAATCCCAGCAATAGTACATTATACAGCGCAATGCCGAATACCGCCAGCTATAATGTACTATTGCTCGGATTTGTTGTATTCCACTATAGCCGGTGCCATTCTGCATTCATTGCTATATAATTTTACACTTTTCATTTCACTATATTGCACACCCCACTTTTTTTTTCCTTTTTTACTTCTACCGCTCCAAGCTTGCTCCTGTGATGGACTACAATCTCAATACAAACTAGTAGTCCCATCACTGGAGCCATTTTTTAAAATGTATTTTATTTTTTATCCGATTAACCGATTAATCGAACTCAATAATCGGCTAACTAATCGATTTTGAAAATAATCGTTAGCTGCAGCTCTACTTGGATCCTTGAGATTTAAAAACCATCCGGCCAATGACCATTTCCCATGGTTCCATGCATGCTTTCTCAAGGCACTTAGATCCTCGAGATTCAAAGACTAAAAAGAGTAAACCATCCGACCAGAGACCATATCTGGTGCTTCCCTGCATGCTTTCTTAAGGCACTTGGATCACTGAGATTCAAGTGTCCACCTAACCATGAAAAATGGTCGTTGGCCGGATGGTTTTTATTGTTTTTAGCCTTTGAATCTCAGGGATCCAAGTGCCCTGAGAAAGCATGCAGGGAAGCACAAAAACAGTCGTTGGATAGATTTTTTAAAAAATAGTTTTTAGTCTTTGTACAATAAAAAAAGAGTGATTTGCCATGACAGCCCTGGATTCCCCTTTTTCTCAATAGAGTGAACTTAGTTACCTTGGCTAGGAGCACCGAGACCCGCTGCTGTGATCACACAGAGGAGTATGTGTGGGATCTCCAAGGTAAACCTCTTCTAGAAGTCTGCACTTCCTCCACTATCGTTGAGTGCCACACATCTTTTGTGTGTTGTTTTATTGGTCCTTAGATGTGGTAGCTGCATTCATTTTTCATGTATTTTCCCTTTATTTTCACCTGGTGATCCTGCCAATAACACTCTTCCTGTCCTATGGTGGCAACACTCACTCGCTGTACTGTTGCGAGTATGTGCTGTAGAGGAGCAGTGTTGTCACCCTAGGACAGGTAGTGAGTTAGCACAAATATTGCGTAGAAATACAATTTTACAATGATCTAGTAAGATTTGTACACAAAGTCAAAGAATTTACTTATATATGAAGAACACGTTCTTGTTATTGTTAAAATTCCTCTGTGGGATCAGACTAAAACTTGAGTCTGTACTAACTGCCAGCACCGGTACGCTAGAATTTTCTATTTCTGGTGTTGGGGCACTTTATTGAATGATGGTGATAATGTCTGTGGCGTCCACGTGTCAGCATGACTGAATAAATGCTCATAAGCCACAAGGTGAATCTAATTACAGTACTACCCTAACCAGCCACAGAACCTGTGTGATTAATATGCATTTAGTTTTACTGAGATGAGGGGGCAACCCTAATGAGCGAGCACAGCATAATCTTTATACACTGTATATTGTGTGACTGGGGGACTACAAGGCCCAACATTGCCTTTTTACAATGTATAGAGTAACTGGGGGACTATGAAATGCAGAATACACTGTATAAACTTTATGATAACTGACTGACACTACAAGGCCCAGCTTGGTCTGTTTACAGTGTAAGTGGAGGACTATATATTCCAGCATGACCGGTATACACTATATGCTATTTGGCCGGGGAATTACAAGGCCCAGCATGACCTGTATATGTTATATATAGTGTGGCTTGGGAACTACAACATTCAGCAAGACCTGTATACACTACATAATGTGTGGCTGGGGTATTACAACATCCAGCATGACCTGTATACACTATATATTATGTGACTGGGGTAATACAACATCCAGTATGACCTGTATACACTATATATTATGTGACTTTGATATTACAACCTCCACCATGACCTGTATACACTATATATTATGTGACTGGGATACTGCAACATCCAGCATGACCTGTATACACTATATATTATGTGACTGGGGTACTACAACATCCAGCATGACCTGTATACACTATATATTATGTGACTGGGGTACTGCAACATCCAGCATGATATATCATATATAAGATTTAACTCCTGAGTTTGTCACTTTAACTTATACTTCTCACCCCAACTGTGAAGAGTGTTGGTGCAATAGCAGACTCAACACTGGAGTTGGTTATACATCTACATTCAACACTTTATGTACTATACATAAACTATATATACCTCACAGATGGTTATGAAAGGAAGTTTTTTTTTTTCTTTTTAATTTCCTGCTGATATTCACGCCCCAGTATATTTAGAAAACCTCAGAGCTCCTTAGCAGTTTTACTAATGACACTGCGTCAGACTTCTCACAGCCCGACTCATAATCCTGATCTTTCAAACAATTCCTTGTCAATCGTCACGTTTTGCTGCTAATTAGGAGCCGAGAATGCCTATGCCAAACCCGCCAATAACAGAGCTGACGGTGACAGCCTCCCGTTCCCAGCCATGCACAATTCACCATTCGTTACCCTCAGAATGCCGCCGCGCGCGTTACCGTCGGCGGGTTGTTGTTCTGTTTTTACAGAAGGCAAAAAGCAGAAGGAAAGGCTTGAAGGGAAGATCAAACAATGAGTTTGTAGGGAGCCCAAGCCGATTTTCCGAGCTAGATTGTCTTATTATTCAAGGCCTGTCAGGTCACAACATTCCCAAAGTGTCTGATCCTTTTGATAAAACGGGAGAAAAACCTTTGTTCAGAGACTAATGCAGCTGTGGAGTAATCGCACTAATTAGCTGCTCAAGTCACTGACTGTGATACTTGAGTGGAAAAAAAAAAAGTGCAATTAACAATGGAGAGAAAGTGGGACTGAGACATACCATAGTTATTAAGGTATTGCTCCCTTTTAGCATACACTATGTACATCCAAGAAAATCCACTTACAAGAGTTTTGGGCATCTCCACCCTTCATCAGGTACAGCAAATATGTGTGTATATATATATATATATAATCTACCAACTGTTTCTCATTTGGAGGAACTGGTCCTTGTAGCCACTTGCTTGTAGCCAGCAAGTGAAGCTAATTTGAGAGAGCAGCTAAAGTCTCTGAGACCTCAGTTTGGAAAGACTTCCGCTCACTCCTTGTCACATTTCTAGGGCAGGAAGAACTTTTAACCCATGGGATGGCAACCTCCGCACTCCAGTAGGGGTGGAACTACAAGTTCCATGATGCAATGCAAGACTCTAACAATCACAGGCATGACTCCC